TAGTACAAATAATTTATTTATTTATTCATCGTAAACTCCTCACATTTCTGCAAAAAAAAAGATACCCTTTTTTTTCCCTTCCTCAATATATAAGCGACCACAACGCTCCAACATCAAAGACATTTTCTTAGGCCAACAACCTCTAATCACACATAACGATTCGGTAACAACAAAAGTTATCTAACGACTTTTTTCCCTATCTTCGTTTATCCTCTCCGGTCTTTCTCATTTCATCATTCCAATCCATCATCCGTTTCCCGTCCAACAAGCCACGTTGGTAACCATATTTCGCTCGTTTATGCAAAGATCCGTGCTGTGCTTTTTTTTTTTAATGAAAGTTACTGGACCGATTATTTCTATCAGAGTTATGTGTCATTAGAGGTCAATCGAAAAAATATGCAACAACGTCAAATCTATTAAGGAACAAAACATTTCCCACCCATTACACAACCTTCGATTTTCGTTTCATCTCGAAAAGCAATCAAAGTATATATAGACTTTTTAAAAAAACCAACATACCCACTAAGCTAAGAACGTAATCATCGCATAATGTCTTCAACGAATACCCCAATCGCACTCGCTATCGCTACTCCTGCACCATCTTCATCCGCATCGTCTCCCCCCTCTTCAACTCCGCCTACTTCTTCGTCCTCCGCTCTTCTTCAGCGGAGAAAGTCAGTACGGTTCAGCAGATTTGAGAAAGTATATTATACCCATTCTCCTGTTGACTACGATCGGTCCTCTATCTTGACAACGCTCAAGGAGGAGTACGGATTTGAAGCGAACGGACAATGCTATCCAATTAAAATCTAACCATAAATAGAGGCGAGAGCTACTATTTGGATGAGGAAAGGATGGAGGCTAATGACTTTTTTAGAATTGCAAAATTTTTCTTTTCTGGCGTCGAAAAACATAGAATATTTTTATCTTTCGAAAACAAAAATTACAAAATTATGATTTAAAAAAAACTTCCCAAATTCAACTCATATATATCTCAGTTTTTTCCCCCCTCTTGAAAACCATTTCAATTATGTCTATTAATCTTATCAGAGAGATGTATAGTAACGTGTTTCCGTTTACGATATATTAAGTATGTTCTGACAAAAAAATATTCGTATGATTGCCTATCGTATCTTTGTTTTCTCTCACTCTCTCACTCAATTTTCTCTCTCTTTTCTCGTCTCTTTTTTTTTTTCGCGTTATATATTTTTTTCTACTTTCATTTTATTTTCATTTTCATTTCTTTTTTTCCATTCTCTTAAATTGAAAAAAAAAACTCAAAAAAAGAAATTATTAATCATTCTCATCGATTATAGTATTCAAATTTTCTTTTTTATAAATCTCTTTTCTTTTCTTTTCTTTTCTTTTGTAGATAGCTTTCATTGTTCACGAACATTGTGTACAATCTTCTCGAACTTTTTTTCTTTTGATAACCTCTTTTTCGGGAGCATCGACGATTTTACTCGGAAATTCTTACGAAGTTGATTGATTTTTCTTGACGTGTCAGTCACACACGCGTTAATATGAATTATCATAATATGTTACGTATTACATAATTACATGAAGTAACCATATAGAGTTTATACGTTTTACCGTGTTCAGTTGCTACTGGAAACGGTCAATATGACAAATTGAAAATATTATTAAAAATTTATGTTATATTGGATTTTCATCGAATTATTCATTCTTGTTCTTTTTTTACATATTTGTCCGATTCCTGTAAAGCAATCTACTTGCTCTCCTTTTTTATCCTTTCTTAATAAAGAGGAATGTAAATAGTATGTTTGAAATTGAAAAAAGGCGACTACTTGTAAAGAAATTGTTCTGTGTGTACATAAAACTAAGTCGGAGTTTCGACACTACAGTAAAAGTTATTATTACTTGTTTCATCTTTATTATTAAGGCCGTGACCATTGTTAACATATTAATAATAATTATAATTAATAATTATAATTGTTACTTTTTGTTTCTGTACTGTTACTGTTACCGTTCCTGTAATTGTTCTTGTTGTTGCTGTTGTTATGTTATTACTGCTGTTGTTGTTAAGTCACTCTTGTTGCTGGTGTCGTGCTGTTACTGTTACTGTTACTGTTACTGTTACTGTTACTGCTACAATTGTTATCACCATTGCTGTTATGGCCATCGGTCTTATAGCCGACTCATTATCGGCGTTATTTCTGTTTCACTTTATGCGCAGCGCACAATATTAAACTTAATCTTATTTTTATGAAACGATTCATTAGTTTTAACAATGGCACAATGGAACTCTAGTCGGAACGATAATTAGGGATATGCAAAGCATTCATTCTGTGATATTCCATGATCTCCCATCGAATGGTTGCCATTCCGATCATATGATACCATCATGCAATGCAACCTACAAAAGTAAACAGTCTATTAACTCTGTGTGTGTTATCGTAATGCATCGTGATTAAATGAAAGGTGTGCAGTTCATGTGACACGTTACATTCGATATCAATAACCGAAACTCATATGGTAAATAGAAAAAGGTTGTTAATCTGCGTTTCCTCCGAGATTATGACTAATTCATTTACAAATTTAAATAAAAAAACTATATCGGTTATATCAATGACTCTTCATAGTCGGCGTTCATATTGCATACCAGGATAGTATTAAACTCATATCCGTGAGTATTTTTGAAGCACATGCAGGAAAAAAAAAGAGATTAGAATGCGTAGAGTAATATTCGCTATGTATGCATATATTAATGATAGTATGCAATGTCTGCAAACATGCTGTGACCTGGCTTTGCTTCTAACAATGTGTGTAATCTGTTACAAGAAGCTTGTGAATAATATTGCTATTATATCGACATTGCTGAATATCTTTTTAAATTCATTCCGCTTTGATTATCTTTTTTCATCGACTGCATAATCTGCATTTCATAACAACATGAAACAAAGACTCCCAACACGCAACCGTCCAATCTGTTCCTTCCGATATTAACTGAGAAACGAGATGATCTCGTGGAAGAGAGAAAAAAAAAAGAAGGTTTTTTTTATTTACAAACAATCAACGTACCAAGACAAAGAATTGACGCATCAGCACAATCAGCTGACCAAAAACAGGCCATGAAAGAACAAATTACAGTTGTTAAGATTATGTAATATGCTTCGTTGACACATGCATTCCACGTTGTTGGTTCTGTTC